CGTTTAAGTAGATTAGCTTCCTCTGCACGTACTAGTGTACGTGAAGTTTCGTGGCACCCGGACAAAGGGTGCCCCGTTACACCTGGTAGCACTTTGTAGTCCGTCCAACGACTACTTAGTGTCCGTCCAACATGAACATGTTGGACGTAGAAGACGACAGCTTTCACATCACACGTGAAGGCTACTCCCATCTGAGTGAATCAGAATGGGATGTCGTCGGCCGCATGAGTGTGTTCATGGGCGAACCCGCCACCAGTGGTATGTTGGAGTCTCTAAGCAGAGACCAGCAACATGCTGCTACTAACAAGTTCCTATAAAAGGAACTTGCTGTCGAAAGACAGAAGATAATCTTGCTACAACAGCAAGGCTCTCATAAGTCGACAAGCGGGCCGACGCACACACTTTAACCCAATAACTTGAAAATATATATCTCAAGGTACAAGAGAAACGATGAAGGTTCCCTTTTGAGATGATTCGTTGAGTTAGACGACGCCATCACGGCCCGTCACATCGAGGGTGACGAGATGCAAGTCATCTTCGCCCTGTCAAATTTGACAGGACGGGCAAAGACTTGGGACTTAGGGCTCCAGCTTCACGACCCAAAAGCGTTTTAGTCGTTATAGATCTTAAAGTATCGGCTCAAAGACACGTTTGAGCCGCCAAGAGCCGAGTTCAGAGCACTCTCTGCACATTTGAGGCTAAAGCAAGGTAAGCGTGATGTGCACGCTTACGCACAGCACCTACGCTACCTTGTGAGTAGCGTTACGGAAAACCCTGTTGATGAGCACACACTCATCAACGTTTTCATCTACGGTCTTGTAGCTGGGCCGGTGAAGACCTACATGTTCCGAGAGGACTTCCATTATGCTGGAAAAGGCGATAGCGTTTGCGGAACAAGAAGACTTCAGCCTGAGACAGTGTCAGGCTAACTCGTCCAACTATCGTCCGACGAGACGACAGGAAAAAGGAGGTCCCGAGCCTATGGACCTCTGTTACATCGAGAGCGAGAACTCTCGCTCTCTGAGTCACAAGTGAACGGCAAGATGCCATCGTTGTCAGAAGATTGGACACTACGCTCACGAGTGTAGTGTCCCGAGCACCGCATCACGCCCAAAGACAGGACGTGATGACCGCCGTTGGCCGACGAAAGGTCCAAGGCGCGGGTCTGACCATGTCGCTAAACCGCGAAAGCAAGTCGGACCGACAAATACGGCCAGAGTCAGTAGGGGTGGAGCAAACTGCTGATCCAGCAACGTCATATAGAATTTTCAGGACTCTTGACGAAGATTGCTCCCAACACACAATCGCTGTGTGTGAATTCCCCTAGTTGATCAGGTATCCTTCATCACTCTGAAGATCGGGGTGACAAGTGGTATGTCACTTCGCACCCTAGTTGACTGTGGGTCGTCGAACAGTTTTATTCGACGCCAGTCGCTGGAGGATAGTAGACTCAACTATGTTGAGCGAGAGTTCTCTCCAACGAGGATGACGGTATGCCTTGCTACAGGCGCATCCGTAACAGTGAACAAACGTTTAGTGGGAATCCACTACACGCTAGAAGGAAAGCAGTACGATGATGACTTCATCGTATTAGATTTGGATGACAAATTTGATGTCATCCTTGGCCTGACATGGCTTAAAAAATACCATCCATGGGTTAGCTGGCAGCATCGATCCGTGAAGATGCCCGCCGTTTGTTCATCGGATGGCCATCTGATGAACGTCTTGGAGCGTCCACAAGCGTGTGGATGTACTACGAGTGAGTGCGATGACCTCACTTGTGGTACGGTCGTTAGTACGATTGCACAAGATCACAATGTAGAAGGCCACTACACTGTGGAACCAGCTTCCGGCACCTGTGTAGAGACACAGGCTGCGCCGAAGGTTCACCACTCGAAGAGATCGAGTGGACTGGAACACGGATGCACACCAAGAAGGGTGCATCCAAGAAGAGTGATTAGTGCTGTTCAGGATAAACAACACATTGAAACGAGATCAACGATCAGATAGTCGATAGCAGAGCAAGTCCGATCGACTGAAAGCGAGTCGATCGAAGAGGACGTGACTGCGGTAGTATACCTACAGTCAGTACACATAATGGAAGAAAGTTCCAGCGTTCCTGAGATGATAACTACCGAGAGAGTTATGTTGAGGGTGTGGATCCCCAACCACTTGCGGATGTGTTTTCCCAGGAAATCACCGAGACAGTGAATGTCTTGGTGAATGACGGACCAGGTGTAAGCGCTTATACACTTGATCTGGCTACACCTCCAACGTCAGTTTTGAAGGTAATCAAGTTACCAACGCTAGAATCTAAAGATTCTTGCTAGATCTGCGTAGTGACAAGATCAAGCAGATCTGCGTACTCGTCACAGAGGACGAGTACGTCGCCGACATTCGGTCGGCACAAGTGTTTGCTGAGAACGAACGGGTTTTAGTAGCTCATCGATGGACGATAGTGACCTCGATGAAAAGACTCGGATTGAGCGATACACGTCTCAATCTTGGGAGTCTATAAAGACAAATTCTTTGTACAAGGATTTGGTTGAATTCAGGATGTTTCCCTGAATCCGTGCCATGCGAGCTGCCCAAGGACAAAGGCACTCGGTATGAGATCAAACTGAAACCTGGTTCGAAATACTGTGTCATGAAGCAGTGGCCACTGACTCGTGAACAGGTAGTAGTGATCGACATCTTTTTTGCCGATCGTCTAGCGGCTAGTCATGTGAGGGAATCAACATCCCCACACAGCTCTCCGACCTTCTGTGTGCGGAAGGCCACAGGAGGGTAGCGGACAGTGCACGCGTTTAACAAATTGAGCGCTGCAACGGTACCGGCTCAAACGCCAATCCCAAGAAAGAACGTCGTCACAGATGGTATGGAAAATAGTACAATCTTTTCGTCCATGGATCTGATGGAAGGATTCTATCAGATCCTCATGTGTAAACTAGACATCTAGTACTCAGCAGTGATCAACCCTAGCGGTAGTGCTGTGGGATTGGATGTTGATGCCGTAGGGGCTAAGTAACGCGCGTGCAACGTTTAAAAGATGTGTAATGAACCTGTTGCGATCGGTGCGTAATTTTGCACCGAGTTACTTCGACGATGTCTTCGTCTATAGCCGGACTATGGATGAAAAGATGGACGTGGAGGTTCAAAGAATCAATGTTCGGAAGTATTTTACTCTAATGCGAGAGCATAATTGTTAGCGAACCTCAAGAAGTGTGTATTCGCAGCGAACGAAATACCACTTATTGGCTGCATCGGAGGTAAAAACGGTGTACGCCCTGATCAGGAAAAGATCAAGGCGATTAGAGACCGGCCTGTGCCAGTCGACGTCAAGGGACTTCGAAAGTTCCTTGGCTTGGCGGCGTACTTGCACAAGTACTCGCGCAGCTACGCCAAGATGACCGTACATCTCTCTCGTCTGTTAAAGGATGACGAGAGGTGATCATGGATTGCTGAGTGTCAGCACTCCTTCGAAGGCATCAAGAAAAGCTTGGTACAATCGCCTGTGTTGGCAATTGCCGATCAAGATAGACCATTTCATGTGGTCTGTGACGCCAGAAATTTTGCAATCGGCTGCGCGTTAATGCAGTACGACTCAGACGGCGTTGAGCGCGTCGTCTGTTATCAATCGCGTCAGCTGCAAGCAGCTGAGCGTAGTTATCCGGTGCATGACAAGGGCCTCCTTGCCATGAAATATGCACTGGCTAAGGCTCGGATATATCTCTTGGGAGATAGGCCCTTCATCGTTTATACCGACCATGCGTCGTTACGCACGTCCGTAAACAGTCCACACCTCTCGCAATGAAGGGCGAGGTGGCTGTCTTTATTTGCGGAGTACAATTTCTCCATCGAGGATAAATTAGGACGACTTAATGTCGTCGCTGATGCTCTTTTGTGTCGGCCCGATTTCGGGACGACTGCTCAACCCAACAGTAGGGTTGGTCCCACTGTTGCAACACAGTCAGTGAGTGTTTCGTCGTCGAATCTGCGCGACGACGTGCGGAAAGCATACGCAGAAGTTAGGTCTTTTCTGCGGTTAACGGATTATGTGTCTAATCCATGCAGTCAAGCTTTGAAAAGCTTGTCGTCTCAATACCGCTCTTCATCCGAACGGTAGTCGGTTCGTGATGGACTGCTGTAGTATACAGAAGTCAACGGCGGCACACCTCGTGTCGTCGTTCCCGCTCATTATGATTTGCGATTGTGCATCATGTATGAGTGTCACGATGCCCCAACAAGTGGGTATCGCGGTAGGGAAAAGACTTACCTCATGGTGAGTCGTGACTTCTACTGGCCCCGCCAGTATGAGTTGTGCGCAAATCCATTCGCGCTTGCGAATTTTGTCAACGGGTGAAGCCTAGCCCTTCATCCCGCGCACCCTTACAGCCTCTTCCGATTACGGCAGAGTGTTGGCAGTCCGTATCGATGGACTTCGTCTTCGGTTTTCCCAAAGACGTTCACAAGGATACTGGTATTCTTGTGTTTGTTGATCAGTTCAGCAAGATGGTACATCTTGTTGCTGTACCGGAGTCAATCACAGCCCAGTGCTGTGCTCGTGTCTTCACCGATATTATCTTCCGAAGTCGCGGGTTACCCCGTGAACTCGTGTCTTATAGGGACCCTCGCTTCACAGTGAAGTTCTGGCAACCCGTGTTCCGTTCACTTGGAACACGTTTAAAGATTTCAACTTCTGACCATCCCGAAACAGATAGTCAAACAGAACGCGTCAACCGCGTTCTCGAAGAGATACTTCGAGGGTATGTCCACTCGTTTACAGGCTGAAGTGAGTTCTTGCCGATGGCGGAATTTGCTATCAACAACTCGGTGCACGCGTCGACAACGCATATACCTGTCTCCGTGAATGGCCTACGCCATTTACGTTTACCCACCTTCATAGAGTGTGACTCTAGTTTAACGGAGGGGGGTGGACTCGCTCAAACAAAAACTGATCTGGTTCTTTCTCATCACCCGTCGACAATGGTGTCGACGTGATGGATGCCGATGTCGATGAGATCGATGTCGATGATGACGATGACGACGATGCTGGCATATTCAGCATCGCCAACGACCGCCAAAGTGAGGAAGATGACGCCCTCACTGGTAGAGACATCGTCCTTTTAGTAGTGCAGACGAAGCGCACTGCTGTTGACAAGGATGAACCAGCAGAGGAATTTCTTCTGACTCGCGAAGCGGCTGTCCGCTTCATTCAAGACTCTATTGCAGATGCACTAGAAAGACGGAAAAGAAAAGCAGACAAACATGGAAGAGCAAATGTTCTTTTGTTAAATGAAGGAGGCCTAGTTTTTCTGTCTTCAGTAATTCTACCGAAACACGCAGTGACAAACGTGGGCAGCAGTAAATCACTGCCCAAGTACATCGGTCCATTTTGAGTGTTGCGCCGAATGAACAACGCATACACGATTGAACCTCCCCGTAAGATGCGTACGCATCCTACGTTTTACGTCGGTCGTCTCCGCCCATACTATCAGCACGAGCCCGTTTCGAGATGCGAAGAAAACCTCCACGTTCGAGAGCCGATACCACCTTCGATTGGTGCCGTTTCAACGAACCAGTCTGGTCGACTAGCGAAGCGACCTGTTCAAGCAGCTCAGCGATGTCTCGACGAGCTGGAGCCAGCTCATCATGAAGAGAACGAGTCAAACGTTCGTTCTTAAGCTGCGCGAGCGCAAAAGCGGCACGATCGTCTGAACGATCGTGCGTTAGGTAATAATAATTATCCCTCACAAGATCATGAAGCTTATAACGCCGAGTCCGTTCGTGAGCCAGGTCATTTTGCAACTGTTCCGTTAGACGGTTCAGCTCTTGAACATCAAGTTGATCCGACCCTCGAGCCGGATCAGGTGTTTCCGCCGCCACCACAACCTTTGGTGGACTCAGGCGGTGGTCAACGCTTCCTAGTGGAGCGTATTTAGATCCACCGCGATGTGAACGGTGTCCGGATGATCTACCTCGTCCGCTGGCGTGGCTATCCACCGGAGTGGGACAGCTGGTAGCCTTGTGCCCAGCTGATTGTTGATGTCCTTGGTATCGTCGAGCAGTACGACGAGACCCAACTGCTGCATTCGAAGTAGGGTCGTCGGAAAACGACCTCCCCGAAAACGAGTACAGGGATTTCAAGATGCCAATCCCTTCGGCCATCTCGGAAGAGATGCTCGCCCTCCAGTAGGGAACATTAGGGAGCAAGGCCTCCCTAGGGGCACGGTTCGAGTTTTCCAAGCAACCTGGACACGAATCACCCCACAAGAGACAGGACAATCCCGCCTCTCTTGAAAGCCGGTGCAACTTGTATCGCGCCCCGACGGGGTTGCGTTTCTCAAACCTGATGCGAGCTGCATCAAGTTTGGCGAGCCAAGCCTCACGGCCAATACACTCGATGTTATGGATGAGGGCATTTCATCCTTGCACCAAGGCTTTGCCGTACCGAACACGGCTACCATTGTACTACCGATGTTTGAAAAACGTATCGGTGAAGAAATCTTCATCAGCCCGGATATTTTCCGTGCTGGAATCAGATGGGCAAATCTTTCTGCAATCGAATAACGGGATTCGATCCCGTTCGGTAGTCATGCCGGCCAACCGGTCCAACTCTCTGGATGGCGGCATCCAAGGAGACTTCACTTGAGAAGCGTGGTGCAGGATATCGCGGTCCCTGGCCTCTTGATTGGTGCCACCATGAGCACTGACACCAGTGATACCCCGATCCCTCGAGTTGTTTCTCTCGCGGAGATGCATAGGTGCGTCACCACCATCCCCATGCGTCCTATCGTTGAATGGACTTGCTTGAGGCGGAGATTCATCGGAATAATCACTTGATCCGAATATCTCGGGCATGATACCGCCACGTTGACCAGAGCCATTCAAACTGAATCTTGCAGTGTCCACCCCGGGTGATCCCGAGGTGTGAGGAGTCGCCTTCGAGCCGGATGCATCATCTGGATTGCCAGAATAGGTGAGCTCTATCCCAGAATCGTCTTGATTACGACTTGTGGTACCCTCTGCAGACGCAACGGATGTACCTGTCGCACGTAATGACTCACCAGGTGGAGGATTCACGACAGCAGGCGACCAATCGCCTGCTGCTGAGGCGTGAGAGGCACTTTCCGCGGCCGCACGCATGCGTGCAGCCGCTCTTCTTGCTGGTGCAGAAGCAGCTCGCGTGAATTTCGAAACCATGCGTTGAATTGGCAAATGAATGGAATCATCCCAAAAAGTGCTCCTTTGCTAAGAGTGATCCAACGGTGGTTCCCTGTTCCGACCAATTTTAATTCACTCAACAGGTAAAGGGGGGGTGATGAAACGGGGTATCCCGTTACATGAAATTGACACCGAACGGTGTCAATAGGAATATTGTCGAGCATGACAGTATTCTACCAAAATAATTCGGGATGGATAATATTTATGCGCTGCTCCAAGATTGGTTGATATAAGACATATCAGCCATAGATTGCCACTGATCGCAGCTAGACGCGCGCAATGAGTGGTGAGTAGGTTGTCGTCATACGACGACGTAGTTTATTTTAGTTAGATAAAGATTTAAGTTACATTGATAGCTTAACTATATTGAATACAGTTATCTTTTCATTATTACTTGACCGAGTCGTTTAAGTAGATCAGCTTCCTCTACACGTACTAGTGTACGTGAAGTTCGGTGGCACCCCAAACAAAGGGTGCCCCGTTACCATAACTCCTAATACACTTTCTGCTTTTGGCATCAACTTGTTCCTTTTGTTTGTCCTGGATATCAGCCGTTGCATCACGTATATGTTGTAATACATATAATCGCGTAGCTTGAAACTCGATCACCTATATTCGAACAGTGGTTGGGCTGTTATCAGCAAGCCAATCGACTATTCCTCCCCCACCTAGTCCAGAACTACGTAGGTGGAGCATTTATGGAACGCGTGGGTGAGTGAGACTATACACGTAGAATGTAGTAAATTCCGTAGATGCATGAACAGCGTAATTAAACGCAAACTCGCCCACTAGGAGCGTAGATATCCAACGCCTAGGCGTTTTAGCATAACCACTGCGCAAAAATTCACCAGTGACACGGCTGACACGCTCAGTTTGACCGTCGGTCTGCGGATGATCCGCTGTGGACATGTCCAACCTGGTGTCCAGCACCTTGAAAATGAAGGTCCGACACTTTCTATTGAAACGTGGATCACGATCAGAGAAAATTTCCACAGGAAAACCGTATTGACGAAACGCGCAGGTGATATTCATCTTCGCTGTACCTTTACCATTGATACAATCGGGCACAGCCGCTCAAAGAGCCTTCCTGCGCAAATGGTCAACAAAGACCACAATGCCAGTTTTGCCGTCCGAATCCTCCGATAGTCTAAACAAAAAGTCCATACTGATGGACCCCCAACACCTTGTGTGTACAGGCAAACTAGCAAGACGTACAACTGCATGTGCTGAGGGTTTAAATCGTTCCACATGTATGCACATATGTGCTCAACCATTTGTACATATCGGGACACCAATGCGTATGGCTAACTAAGCTATAGGTTTTTCAACGACCGGGACGACCGCTCATAGCATAATCATGTGCCTCAAAGAGGATACGATACTTCAAATCCTCATCATGAGGAACAATGATGCGAGGCATATCCTCAATACCCGTGCAACAGCAAAACAACCTATGATCGATGGCATATCTAATTAGGCTTGCACTTAAACGTGCAGAGAATTTGATATTTGAGACTTTGATATCCTCGCTCTCAAGAGCATGTAGCAATGCTACACATTGCTCATCACGTGCGTATGCCGCACAAATTGGATCCACAATGGATGACGACAGAGTCGTAACATGAGCAAGCTCATAATCAGGTATGCGTGGCAACGCATCAGCCAAATTGTTTTATTTGCCCGGCTTACACTTAACATCCAATTTGTTTTTTAGCAAAGAAAAAAAACCCAACGGGCAATACGCTGTGAGAAGTGAGGCGACTGTGTCGCAGTGCGTAACGACGCATGATCGGTATAGACTTTGAGCCAATGAGATGTTATCCAAACTTAACAAGAGCATACTTCATCTCTAGTTATTCCTTGTCGTAAACTGTGTGGTTCTTGTCTGCAGCCTTTAAATGACGATATTCATACGCAGTGACGCGCTCATGTCCATCGACATCTGTCTGCAATAATGCACAGCCAATAGCAAAATCAGACGCGTCACAGACGACACTGAAAGGCCACTATGGGTCAGGCAAAGCCAAAATTGGAGCATGAAGGAGACTGCCCTTGATAGCTGTAAAATCTTGAGCATGGAATGCGTCCCAACACCGAAATGCATACTTCTTGAAAAGGTTTTTGATGGCCTTGCCACGTCAGCGTAGTTTGAATTGTACTTTTGCAAGGAATTATCAAGGCCGTTTCATTTGAGCAAGTCCTTTTGGTTCGACGGAACCGGCCAGTCAATAATTGACTTAGCTTTAACGGAATTTGTTCGAAGGCCACGCATTCCAATGAAGCACCCGAGAAAGGACAGATCTTCAGCACTAAAAATGCATTTCGATGCACTTGCATGCAGCTTTTTCGTGCGCATGCACTCGAGCACTGCTCTTAATTGATCTATGTGATTCTCTACATCTGACCTTTCTTGTTCCGCACGGATATGGACAAAGATGTCATCAAAACATCTTTGTGCGTATCCTCTGTGAGGTCGGAACAACTGCGTAACGAAAAGATTGAATGTAGCCGAGGCATGATACATCCCTTGATGCATAAAAGCCACTCCCAAAGCATATTGCTTGAAGTACTACTGCTGTGTGATGAAGATTACTCGCTCGCATTAGAAATTGACAATACCCGTCATCGATCAAGTCAAGTGCACTGAACGTGGTACAAACTATTGTAGCATTTTGAAGAATATCCTTTACAGGAAAAGGCGTCTGTGCCGGTGTAGTGGCTGTATCAATCTTAACGTGGGCATGCACAATGCGCCACTTGCCATTTGGCTTTCTGACACAAAATGTCGGTGTCGAATGCGGAGATTTGCACTCAAGCACCATACCAGCCGCGTGCTTTGCACGAAAGAACTTGCCAATAACGTCACACTGCTCCTTTGACAGGTTCCATAGCCGTGTCAAACAGTATTTGGTTTCAGGAACCAGGTCAATTCATGAAGTACGCCTCGATCAGGAGGCAGAGTGGAAGGTGGGTCGCGACACACCACATCTTGAAACTCATAAAATAAAAAATGAAACGAGTCCTTAGGATCTTTTAATATCGATGAACCACTTCAAGCACTCAGTGCCGCCTTCTTGTCTTTTAAGACAGCCTCGTCAAGAAGGGACGACAAGTTCAACTCACTATCGGATCTAAAGACCTACACTTAAGATAAGTCACCCGACTTCAAGGTCAGGCCAAACTCATCGACAGACATTTCATCTAGCTCTGACAGAGTATTTAGTGAGGGTAGATTATCAAGACTCACTGACCCATCAACTTCACCAGTCACTCCATCAACGAGTGTATATAGCTGCTCGTTAGTATTACTCACTGACGTAACATGCACCTTGCGGTGCATGGCAGCAATCAGGCGTATCTGTCGTCTCTTTAACGAGGCCGAACGTCTTAAAGAGACAGAAAATTTCTTGTCTTCAAGGTTTTTGCATCAGCATCCTTAATTATCTCTATTCAAGAGCCGGTGTTATTACAGACACCCAAGACACCAATGTCCCCAAGGATGACATGACCGTCAACCATAAACTTGTTTATTACCTGAATTGATTTCATTACCAACACATGAAGCTATACCACCCCAAGGTGATGAACTGAATCAACCTTCATTTGCCCAATATCAGGTCCTATATCATTATTAACATATGGTACTGCACTGTCCTAAGGTGTCGAACTACGTCAACTCAATTTGGTCTACAAAAGATTCGATGTCATTACCGACATCTGGTGATGAGTCACTTCCAGCGATATCACCACCCAGAGGGTACTTACGTGCCACTCCACGCTCGTCAAATGGGCCTTGCCCATACTGACTTGGTGTTTCACCAATAATGTCTTGGCTGACATTCATTGCGTCGCAATCACGGCCAACATCACTCAGTGGGTACTTACGTGCCACTCCACGCTCATCATATACATTCAACTTATGATGACTTGCCTCTAGGCCAAAAATGCTTTAAGCATTCAGTAATTGTTATCACAACGATGATCACTCGACGAAGTACTTGTCTTCTCACTAACAGTCAATGAGCTTGGATCGCAGCTGATGTTTTTGACGCCGTACAACTCAATGAGCTCAACCATAACGATGTCCAGGACACTGATTGTCTCAGTCCATAGCTCGCGCCAATAGCACCTCTTTTTCCTTGCAGTGGTGGGCTCATGACTCTCAAAAGCACAAGTAGCAGTGCGCGTTGCGCATTAGGTCTTCGACCTCCAATTAATTCATGGCTCATGGCGTTCTAACCAAGCCATACCAAGGATAAGATTAGACTTTTATCCAAGTCACAACCTAGACAGCGTTTAAAAATATCAAAGTCCGAAAACTTCACACATAACTTCACAGGAACTTTGGGCACAGCTAAGAAGCCTGGCTTGTACGCAGGCTTCGTGTCATTGTGCATGAAGTCACTTGGGGATAGGCCCTGCTCTCCATCACCGCCCAGAGGTACAACAGATCCTAATTCTTCCCCAGCTTGGCTCCCCGCGCCTACTAGGACTATACGTTTTCCCGCACCTTACCAACTAGTTGGTTAGCGACGGGAGGTCCGCTCGAATGAGCTTGTCTGGTCCTTCTCAGAGGACAACTGGGGTGGAGATGTTTGATGCTAACGCACGCAAAACGTCTACGGTTGTTCGAACGCTGTTTGAATACGTATAGCTCAGATTCTTCGTCTCTCTCAGCGAGACTAAGGTCCAAGGGCTCTGCTTTATCCATGAGATGAGCATTGCTCGACGAGTTCGATCGGAATCCACAATTTCCATAACAGGCAGCTTTAAAGTTGAAATCTGCCTTGAACGCAATGTCTACTGCACCCTCAAATGTCAAGGGTTGTGTACGAAACACTTCTGTTCTGAAAACTTTAGTGCGAAGACCCTCCATAAACATGGTTACCAAAACCGTCTCATGTAAAGGGTCAGCTTGCATAGCAGCAATTAGAGTTCTCAACTCTTGGACATAATCCATTAAGTCCTTTTCATCCTTT